TAAAGGATGGAATAAAGAGTAATGATGAAAGTGATTGTATAAAATTCATGCTTAGTGAGTACCCATTATCTTAAATTAATCCTAATAAGACAGTTTTTCCCAGCATGTGCAATTTTAACAGTCACTGTGAGAAGGTGTTCTCCCTAATACACTATCAGAAATGTGATGACACCGTCCTCTTTTAGGGTGTGTAATTGGTAAAATGTTACAAAAACGTGGTTATTGCTTCTTCATAAATGGGATACTTTTAAAAGTACTTTCGGTCTTACACTGATTGGGCTTGATGACTTGCTGATTAAGATGTCTACATGACATTTTAAACCACCATTACCTCACTGGCACTTACAGCAGTTCAAAATCAGGATTTTCTTTTGAGCTGAGTAAGTAAAAACATTTCTCCTGTTTCAAAGCAGAATGTGAACATTGTAACTCAAAGCTGAAGGTATGTTTGAGTGACCATTCATACATAACTTCTTATGGAAGAATTTTAATATACTTGGGATGGAATTTAAGGAAGACATTGATATAATAATAGATAGATTGCAGAGATTGTGTACATATACAGCTGCATTTGTTGAAATTTTCGAAGTGGAACTACTCTAACTGTTCCACTCTTACAGATAGCCCATTTTTACTCTGTCAGTTGTCTGTATGGTCTAAAAATACCCTTCCAATGCCTTACCTGAGCCCATTTCCACACATTGACCTATGACCACATTGTTGGGAACCAGAGCCAAGTGATGTGAAACTGGGAAATGTTGTAAAATGAGTGTGACTGTTCCTCTGCATTTCTTCATTCTTTCTTTTGCCTGAGAAACTTCTGCTCAGCTTGCATTCCAAAATATTGAATTAACTATTTTACAATTACTTCAAATATGTAGATTTCTATTACTAGGAAAATTAGTGCTGGAATTCTCTTTCTTTAAGCCTTGTTGAAAGCTCATTAAAGTCTTCGCAGCTATTTCACTGAGCTTATAATAAGACATTTTATGTTCCTATGAGCTTCATACTAAAAGTAGCATTATATTACAAGTTTGGTCTGCAAATTCCAAACCTAAGACAATATTTCTCAAATGGGATGATGGCAAGGGAGCTGCTGAACAAGTAATTCATCTGAGAACACAGGCAGAATGCGATCTGGAAATACTGGATGAACAAGAGAGAAGCAAAAGTTTAAATGTAACTTTGATCATTACACTGAAGATACTTTCTGGCAGATGAGATGCAAAGGATGTGGCCAAGCTGGGAAACGGGGTGGTGCTTCTCTTTTGTTTGCATAGAGGCAGGGAGGCTGGGAAGAAAAAAGTTGCTGGGTAATGAATCTTGCATTGTAATCACCCTACGTTTTAACATGCTCTTTTCATTTTTGACATTAATTTTATTCTACAAGAGGAAACTTTATGTTCCAATGACCAAGCTGAGATATGAGATACACAAACCAACCATGCCATATGCTGATTCTGTGCAACCACAGAATTTGATAAATAATTTTTCAAAATTGGGTGATAACTCTTAGCCTGACAAAAAACTATCACAGTTTTATATATTTTTTCCTCCTCTTCAGGATTCAATTACAAAGATGTCTGTTTTCATGCCCTGAAGATATATGCTTATCTATACAGCACAATATACACTAAAAAAAGCTTGTGTAGCTTTTTAAGCTGTATCTCTGATGTTAGAAAGCTCAGCTATATTCATAATTAATTGTCTTGATCAAACCCAAACTCCTTACAATTAAGAAACAAACAGAAGGTATGGCATATCAAACAGACTTTCTGCTGCTGTGATCTTATCTAAAGACAAAATAAGTTCCTTGGTACTTTCACATTAATAGTAATAAGGGTTGTTTTGTGGTTTTTTGGTTTTTTTTTTTTTGAATTTTCTTTACTTCTTTAAATACTATTGTTATTATGTCTTCCCATGCACAAACCTCTGGAGCTCTACAGATGATGACGAAGATTTATGTAATTGTTTGAGTCAAGCGTAGGGACAAGAGGGTGTATATCCATCTGAGTTAAGGCAAGAAATCACAATTGCTGGTGTAGGAGCTGCAGGGCAGGACAGCAGGAAGTTGTGTGGAAAAGAAGGCGGTATGAAATCCTGGCTGGTGTGTAGTGACACCCTGGCATTGCCAATGACAGCTGAGAGATCCTGTTTGTTGTTCATTTTTTAATATATGGCACTTGCTTTTAGAGGCTGCAGTTTCTGGTGAAATCATCCTTACTTGGACTCTTGTCCTCACCGCTCTCTGGCCAGGTGACTCTGAAGTGCAGAAATGGTGGGTATTGCCTGCCAATAACAAACCAAAGCTTGTCCTCCCTGTGAGGGTGTTGAAATGGTGATCAGCTGAAGGAAGTGGCCTTTCCCCTTTGTGCTACCTCTGTCCCTCACTGCGATCTGTGCAAGTCACAAATACAGTTTTGGAGCATGGCTAAAAGGATCATTGTCACAAACTCCCCATGCTAAAATTGCTCAGGACCCATGGCACCATGGGTGTGACACAGCTGGGAGGCTGTAACGTGGCACCCAACAACCCAGTGCAATTTCCTTCTCCTCAGCAATGCTTTGCAGGCATAGGGTGCCCATGCTGAAGGTCAGGCACAAGGTCAGTGGTGGTAAGAGCTGCACTCTCTTATGCCCTTTCCTCTGCAGGGATACATTAAGGTTACTAGAGGGACCCCTGAGACAAGGAGCTTGAAATTACTCCATCTTCTCTCTGTATGCTATTTGGGCATTGTAATGTGAACTGGATCATCAGACTGGTCAGCAGAACTGTGATAATTCATTCCTGCTGTATCTAGGTCCTTTCCATTATCTGCTGAAGGCCAGTTTATTGCTGCAGCTTTTCTCCTATCCCACTGAATTATAATTCATCAACAGGCTCAGGAAGAAATTTGTTACTATTTTTTCATTCATAGCATATTTTCTTATATTAATACTTCCTGTGCTTGCTACAAATGGCAACCCTCCAAGGCAATACACTGTTGTTTTTAAGAAGGTCAGTGCTATAATATACAGTGGTATTTTCCTGCTCTGCCTTCTCATGATCTTTGAATTCTGTGAGACTTGAGCTCAGTAACTCAGGCATGAGAAAAGAGATGTCAGATCCTCCTTTTTAATGTGAGATGGATAAGAATAATGCAAGATAAAAAAAAAAAAAAAAAAAAACATAAAGACCAAGGTTAATCTGGTCTATTGATAATCAATCCAGGATTTGTTAACTAATAATGTTTAGTATGTGGTACCTGAGGAATAGCTAGGAACGGAATCTTGTGTGCCAGGCAGCCAGCACTGCCCCAGCAGCTGCTGCTCCTCTGACCAGATGACAATAACACTCCTTACTGGTGTGAGACTGAAAACAGGAGGCAGCTGTGGGAGGCTGCACCCGGAGCCGGTGCCCTTGTGACAAAAGCTGTTTTGTAATTGCAGCAATAGGCTCAGCTAAAGGAGGTCTGAGCAGCAGATACTGTGTTTCCGTGTTGCTGCTTATGGACAGAAACCTAGAAACAGAAAAACACTGGCAGTTGCCTTTACTATTTAATGTGGGAAATATTTTCCTAGATGGGAGATTTAAAAGGGTATGACAGTTCTGAAGGCAATTCACAGTGGCAAGTAGTACTGCTTCCCTAAACAGAGTCTCCAAATGTTGTACCTCAGGACTAACCTTACCTTGGGATTACAGTCTGGAGAGTGAAAGGCTTTGATAATATGTAACTTTACCTATACGTTCTTACTGCCCTCTTACTGTTTTATTGGCAATTCTGAAAGTTTTATTGATTCTGACAAGGATGACTAAAATATCTTGATTTATAGCAGGAGAAAAAGATACGTTATGAATAGATTCTTTTTTTCTGTCAGAAAAAGACAAGACTAGACAGTCCTCTTTAATTAACGTTGACAACTATTCCAGAAGAGCCTGTGAAAGAAGCAAGCCAACAGAACATGAATCAACAGCTCGAACAAAAAAAAGTTAAATCATTTTTCTTCTTTCAATTTTTACAGTGTTGAGGTAAATCAAACTGCTCCAGTTAATTCTTCTATTAGTTACTAGTTCTTCTAAAATAGCTGTAGAAATATGCTAATTACTCTTTGTAGAAACAACCAGTATATTGAGTTCCAAATTCCTTGCTATGTTGGTGGAATTAGTAGTATATCTTCATAAGAAAGGAAAGGAACTGGAAGGATCTCTGTAGAATGAAAAGCTGTGCAGCAAGGTGAGCAATAGCACGTAGATCTTTCACATGATGTATCTGGGGCCTTGTTTTGTACTTGTGAGGGACTCAGGATGATGACAACACAGTTTTGTAGGCAGAGGTTATGCTTTTTTAAAACAATAATCTTAGCTGAAAAAACAAAGCATTAAATCTCAAATACTTCAAGAAGTTCTCTACTTTATGACCTCATTGTAGTGAATTGAATAGAAGATGCCACCTTTTCCTATAACCTCATTTTTTTGTCTGAAATTCTGATATCAAGGATCATTGCAATTTTGGAAGTGTTAAGGGTGATAATTTTTTTTCTTTTTTACCAAAGGTTGCAATATGAAGATGAAATCAGTGTGAGTGGAGAGGGGAATTGCATGAGATTATAGCAGTGTACCCATTACATGAGTGTGTTTCTTTTTTGAAGATCTATTCTACAACTCAAAACTATGTAATCTAATATTTTCTTGGTTTTTGTGTTGGTTCCTATATACAAGGTAAGCACAGTATTTTGGTAATGAAAGAAATATGTGAACTGAAAAAGAATTTTTCAGAGTGATGCATGTAGCAGCTGTATTTCTATGGTGAAGCTTTTTGCGTAGAATTAATGAAGTGCTTGGGGTCCTAGGGAATAAAAGGTGCTATATAAACGTAAGAAATCATCATTAAAAAGTTTTTCCCTCCAGGCATTTGGGATTTTGCAGGGTTTCAAGGAGGCATTTGCAGTCTTCTTTCATTCAAAATGCTTCAGCTTATACCTGTTCCAACTCTCTCTCTGCAGCGTCATCTACAAAAATGTTTATATGAAGAAACAGTTTCTGAATTGGTTTCTCTTAATCATATTTTGCTGCTAACATGAAAGAGTCTGCTTTGGCATAAGCTTTTTATAACCATTTTGAAGACCAAAAGGAACTAGGTAGCAATCTTTCCTCAAGAGGTTTTCATTTGCTGTTTTAACCATTATGAGACCTTGTCTGCACTGGTGGAGGAATAACAGAGGTTCACAGCGAGGATACATGGGTACAAAAAGCCTACTGTGCACTATAGGGATTAGAGTTCAAGAATTATATCTTATGGGCCTTCGTGGCTGTGCACATTTGTGAACTGATCATAGAATGCCTTGTTAGAGGCTTTCCCTTTCATCCCAAATTAGACGGATTGGTTTTGTATGCGTATATTTCTGTATATTTCTAAACTCTTTTTTTAAGCCAGCATGCGACATTGAAGATAATCTACCACTTTCCACATATATAAGTGTAAGTGGCAAAAATGGCAGAATCAGAAATCAAATCATTTGTGAGACGACTGGATATATCCAGTCATTTTGAGAAAATGGTGAAGTTATGTGCACCATGAATTCACACCAAATGCAGATCCACAGTGTGTGGATCTTAAGTACTTTTATGGAGTTCAGTGCTGTTTACAGAATTGGAATTTTTTGATCACTAAGTTGAGGCACTAAATAAAATGCTAAGTATCTTTAAGCTCTTAAAATTGTGAGATTTGGCAGCATTAAAGTTTAGATTTCCTTATGCTATCCATTTTACTTATTCACAGATGAAGTTAAAGTATTACATATCAAGTTAAAAACACTGCATCTTCTGTAATAGTTTCATAGAATTTGGTATTTTCCTTCAACTACTTGTTACAGAATTGAAGCAGGAATTGTTGTTTCTTACAAATTATCTGGTAGAGGACAACAGGAGCGAACCGTAAAACAATTGGGTAAAATAATATATATGACATTTAGCAAGAAGCAATACAATATTTGTTTTTTTGTGCTTTTATTTGCATTTTGGTTAGCATGGAGCACCTATTAACAAGACCCTTAGAAGAAATCTGTGGGTTGTGTGGGATGTTTCTTCTGCTAAGGAACAGTGGAGAACTATCCATACGTGTTCCAAAATATCAGAACTTGATTTTATAAATGTATCTTTTCAGAAAACAAGCTTAATTCTCAGAAGAGTCACATTAGCACTCATTAGGGGACTGAGTGCTTCAGGGTACTGTTAATGAAATTCATTGCCTTTTGCCTGTGGGCTATCAGTTTGAATTCAGTTGAACTCAGTGGAGATTTAAAATTGTTCTATTTAATGGCCTTTTAGTCATCTCTAATGAGATGAGTTTGGTGGCTCTCAGTCCCGTAATGTAAACCATTAGCTCTGCCTTCTCCTAACTGGCAAGCTCCAGAGAAAGCCAAAAGTTTAATGGACTCTGGGGAAAGGTTTGTATGTTACCATGAAAAAGCAAACCAAAGAAAAGAAAAGGTCTTGGTGCACACTAGTTACGTGAGCACTAACAAACACGTTTGTAAATGTAAAATCTGCAGTCATATATGAAGTCTGAAAATCCGCAAATTAACTGAGCATGTGACGTACGCTGCTGCACAGCAATGCACAGAATGCAGTGTGACAAGGATTCCCAAAGGGGTTATCTACACCTATATGTAAAATCACACAACACATTAAATGTTTAAATGTCTCTGTAATTCCTGTCAGATAAACATACATATATATATATATATTTAGGATCAGAACAGCTATCTGGATAGTAACTGCAGTTATGGAAAATGATGCAAAAAAAATTGATTTCTTAAACGTGCCTCCATTAATTCTCAGTAGTTAAATGCCTCTCATCTATTTGTACAGACATTTAGCTCAGTTTTTTTTGTTTTTTTTTTTAATGGGAGTGATGTTTTCAGAACCCTCTAGAGAATACGTATCAGTTTAATTTATCCATGCTGTAGTTAAACTTTTCCTAATGTCTAACCTTAATTTCTTTTAATACACCTTGAAACTGTTACTTTTTGTTCTTAGCTGGATGGATTTAAGTGTAGTCCTCTATTCTCCAGACTAAGAAATCTAAATCATTCCTATTTTCAGTTTGGGTTACATTTTTCAAAAATTCTGATTAGTTGGTTGGTGTTTTTTCCCCCTCCTGCTCTTTCCTTCTATTGGTGCTCTTTGAAAGATACATTTTCTTGAAACAGAGAGCCCCAAACTTAACACGGTATTCCAGCCAAAGATTTACCAGAGTTAAATCTAAGGAGAAATTCTTTGTATGTCCTAGATATGACAGTTCTGTTCACACATCTCCTTGTACTGCAGCTTTTTCTCATAAGTGTGACATTGTGGACACATGTTCTGTTTGTGATTTACTGTGGACCATGGCCCCTGTTCTGAAGCCATGGTGTTTATTCATCTGTTCCTAGCCTTGCAATCGTGCAATTGTTGTTTTCCCATTTGAATTGACAGAAATTGACAGTTGCACCCTATTTTTGCAATCAAGATCATTTTGAATCCTATTTTTGCCCAGCGACATCCTTAAAGCTCTGCCATTTTGTTACTGTTGGCAAATCATAGAATCATGTAATATCCTTAGTTGGAGGGGACCTCACTCTATTCCATTACTCATGTAATTAGAGATCCAGGACACGTCCATTCCCAAGGAGCTGTGTTTGCTATATTCTGTTGTTATTCACAGAGAAGAACTGCCAACTACTTTTTGAGTAGTTTTGTACCACTGCAGTCTTTTCATTCTGTTCAGATTTCTTTCACTTGCTCAGTTATTGAGTTCTGAGTCAGTGTCAAAAGTCTTACTGAAGTCAAGCCACAGCAGACCTGCCGCTATTCCCACCTGCGGTCCATTATGCAGTCATCAAATGGAATGAGTTTGGCTCTGTATGATTTTCTTGACAAATCCACGTTGGCTGTAACTTATCACTTCATTAGCTACCATGTACTTAAAGATGTGTGATTATCTGCTTCAGTACTTTCCCTGGCTCTTCCTACCCTCCCCTTGGAATTGCACGTGCTATGCATTCCCTTTTCCCCTCTTCTGAAGCGCCAGTTGTCTTCATGAGCTCTCAGTGACAACTGCTCACACCTCTGAAGTCGCCTTATCACCTTCTCACTCTAGCGTGAAATCCTATGGGCCTAGTAAATCTAAAGAAAATCTAATTTATCACAGCAGTCCCTAATTTACCAATTTGTCTCCCTTGAATCCCTGCCCTTTTGAACCGGAGCTTGCCATCACAGCCATTAATCTGAAGGGCTGGCAGTGAACGCCAGTTTCTTGGCGTCCCGTCAGGGCTGCTCCCCAGGGCAGAGCGGCCACCTCCGCGTTTTCTCCTTTCCCCTTGCTGCCGCTTTGCTCTGCGTTTCCCGCTCCGCTCTCTCGTTGCCCTGTCACATCGTTTGCCAGCCGCTGCTTGTTGCAGGACTGCCTCTTTTGTGCAGCTCCTTCAGCGTTTGACCTAGTTTTCCACTTTCTGTGGGAAAGGCACCGCTAAGCAGCAGGCGCTTCGGCTTCCCGCTCCCCCGCGCCCCGGGAGCCCGGCGCAGGTGAGGGGAGGCCACGCCGGGGCGGGAGGCGGCCGCGTTCGGCGTTTCGCCTTTTGAAGAGATCTGCTAGGAGTTTCTCCTCACGCCCACGGACGGCATTTCCCGCTTGCGCTCTCAGCGCTGCCGGGGACGACCCGAGCCCGACGGCGCGGCGGAAGCCGCGCGGCGATAACGGTGCCGCTCGCGCCGCCGGCGGGAAGGCGAGCGAGGTCGCGACCCCGCACCTCACTGCGGGAGGGGCGGCGCCGGAGCGGGAACGGCGGGGGAACGAAGGGCGCGTGCGCACTCCGCTCCCCGGGACGTGGGTCTCCGTGTACGGTATGGGGGGGCGGGAAGCTTACGCGATGACGTCATGACGCTGCGCGCAGGACGTAACCCCGGCGTGACGCACAGCCCGGCGAGCCCGTGAGTTTCCCGTTATGCTTTTTTTTTTTTTTTTTTTTTTAAATGCCCTCCCCCCGCTCCCCTCCCCCACCGCCGAGGGGAGGGCAGGGGGCGCGCGGGCGGGGAGGCCTGGGGCCGAGGCGAGAGCCGGGGCCGAGGCGGGCGCGGCGGGTCGGGCCGGCCGCCCTAGCGGCGGTTGGCGGGCGGCCGTCGCCTCCATCCTGCTGCATCGGGAACATGGCGGCCGCCTCCGGCCCGTTGCGGCTCCCCGGCTCGGCCGCAGCCGCCCGCGCGGCGGTAAGTGCCGGGCCCGGGGCGGCGGCGGCGCGGCGGGGAGAGAGTGCGGCGGCCGCGGAGTTCCTCCGCCGCCCCACCGCCTCCTCCCGGCCCCGCCGGCGGCACCCGGCCCTTCCCCGGGCCGGCGAGCGGCCTCCCGGTGCCCCCGGCCGGGCCGGACACAAAGGGCCGTGCGAGGAGGGCTCTGCGCGGTCACATGAAGCGGCGCAGCCAGTGAGCGCGGGGCGGGGGGAGCGGGCCGCCGCCATTGCCAGGCGCGGAGCGGCGGGGCGGCCTCGGCGGGGCCGGGGGAGGCCGCGGGCCGGGCGGCAGGTAACGGCGGGCGGGGGGAGGCCGCGGCTGGCGGGTGGCCGGGGTCGGCCCGGGGGCTCCGGCGGGCCGCGGTCCCGCCGGCTCCGGCCGCGGAAGCTCGCCGCCCTGCCGCGCTCCGGCCGGCCCGGTGACGCGCGGTGCTGCCCGCTGCCTTCCTCCTCGCCTCGGAGCGGGGCGGTCGCCGTGGGATGTCAGCTTGTGCCGGTCCCGGCCTCGCCGCCGGCGAGGCCGAAGTTAGCGGGCACCCGGGCCGTGGGGCGGGGGCTTCCGAGCGAAGTTTGTGTTACGTCGGGCTGCGGCGGTGAGCATCACCCTGCCCGGCAGCGCTTATCGCGCGAAACCTGCGGGCTTCTCTGCCGTCGTGTCTCCGCGTACAACCTTTAGTTTATCTGAAGTTCTTGCACTGGGGGGACGTGGGCGATATAAACTGACAAGTCATGGTGGTAATGAAAAACAAACTCTGTACATCCAAGCAGGCTTCCATCAGTGCTGTAGAACTCTGGCCCTTTAAGCGAGATCTCACCTACGGTCACGTTCTGATTCCGCCTCCCCTCCTTCCTAGCACGTAATTAAGTTATGAAGATTGTGTCATGGAACTTCGCTCTGAGACTCATAAGGGGAATGAACACGCACCAGGTTTTAGGAAGAAGCCATTTCGTGTTGTGTAGCTTAATGAACTGTCACACGGACAAACACTTGGAGAGGTTTGTGTCCTGGAGATAAGGATCTCTGGAATTCCATCAGGGGATTGTACCTCTTACTGAGAAGCTTAGGCAGTGCATTTTTAAAATAAAAGTTGCAAAATATTTTTTTCATTCAAATTATGAAACAAGGCTTTAACTGAAGCATTTTCACATTTAGGAGGTACATCTAAGTTTTGACAACTTAACGTGCTTCTTCTGTATAAAATCCTTTGCTGCCTGACTTGTGTGAAGCAGGTGATTTGAGGGCAGAGCACATGAACTGATTAGGCAATGCAGAATAGATCCTGAGGAGCTTTTAATGGGTCACTTACATGGAGAGAAAATGCAGCAATTTCCTTATTGGAGTGGGGGTTTAAGTTGGGTGCATGGAGGAGCAGTGCAGTGTGACAATCCTATTACACCGACTTACCATCAAAGCTGATGATGCAGTCCTGTCTAATATGACTGCAGAGGGATGCAGCACAGAGTTATGCATGAATAATAGCTGAAATAGGAAGAGCCTTCAAAACATTGTATTTAAAATAGTTTCTTGCAACACCTAGCACTACTTCAAATAGAGGTTTCTTCTTATTATTTTAAAACGTAGGCAGGAAACGTTTGGGGGGTAGGAGGATGTTAATTTCACCAGTAAACACCTTCCTTTTTTACAGAAATAACTTTTCTTTTGTTGTTTTTTGTCATACTGAAAATAGTCCTTGGCAATGTCATTTAGCAAAATCAGGACAAAAGTGTATTACTTTGATTTTTTTTTTTTCTGGAATCTTGTGAAATCCAGCATCTCTTCTGCAGTAACACGTGAAAGTATGTGCCTAGGAGAATGCCTGTAAAAGTTTGTGAGTGAATGTTAAAAGTGATCAGTATGACCTTGAAATCTCAGGAGGTGACCTGAGCTGTAGGAAGAAACCCTGTTGACTTGAAGCATCCTTGTGAAGTTAATTATCAGAGCAACAATTGATTGAAGCAGGAGCATCAGCAATTGAATTAACAGGATGTTAAACAGTAGTGGCAGTGCCTTCCACTTTAAAATAACAGTGCAGGCTGAGTTTCAGTACGGACAGCTGGGTTGCCAGTGGAGTTCCTGGTGGGATGGTTTGTGCTTACACTTGTATGTGCTTGCACAACGTACTTGTGCACAAACTTTCTATTTGTAGAGCCTTCTGCAGAAAACAAATGGAAAGAGAATAAGATTCTTTCTAGTAATAAAGCATATGCATGTTCTCATGCCTCTGTTCACTTTGAACGCTTGCTGTTTTTTTACCAGCTTGCACAAGAAAGTCAGCAAAGCAGCTCAGCAGTGAAAACTGGAGAAAATGCAGTGTAGTTGTGTCACTTGCTTTGCAGTTCCCCTGAGGTTGGTTTGGCTGAGGGTTCTCTGGCCTGGTTGGTTTGGCTGGTCAGGAGCTCACTGTCAATACATTTTTATATTTCATAACAGCTTTTTGTGTTCTGCAACCTACAAATGATGCCACTTTTAGAGGGCTACCTGTTGAGATTATTGCTTTTAATTCCCTCTATTATTTCAATCCCAAATGCACCACTGTAATGCTATAGTTATTTTAAGCCAAACTGAACTGATTTCTTATGTTCTATGCATTTTGATATTTGAGAGATGGGTGAAAACATTTAGTAAAATTAGGTTATATCTGCACAAAGTTGCACTCAAATTGACTTGCAAACTGATTCAGGATGGCAGAGCCTCCAAAGCATAATTCCTTCTGTTGAAATTTGTGTCCAAACATCTTGAGAACATGAAGAAATTCCTGGTAAAACAAAGCAAAACAAGTCTTCCTTCTCTCAAAATATGTTCATGTATCCTCCTTTTTAGCACTCTAAAAAGAAGCAGATTTTTGATAGTGAGCCTTTTTCCTTGCTACTTTTTTGGGATGTAGATGCAAACTTCATACAGCTGCTGGCAAAAGAGCTTAAGTTACCCAAGGAAGCTATGGATGTTGGTTGTTCTGGTTGATACACTTAGGTACTACTGGGCTAACTGGGTTAAAGGTTTCTGCATAGCTTATGGTCAGGAAAACACCCTTTTAATGCTTAATTAAGGAAGAAGTCTTATGCCTGTATGCAACGTGTCTCTTAAATCAAAACTTTGCTGGTAGCAAAGAATTCACACAAGCAGGGATGGTAACTGTCATGCCCACGTCGTTCACTGCATTGTAGACAAGGCTTCTTTCTGCTGTATGAGGATGTGAAATAGGCACTGGGATTTCCCTCCCTGCTGAAATCATCCGAAATGGACCCCAGTGTGGTACATCTTTACAATACAGTACTGTTTATGCATGATTTCTTTAAGTCGCAGCTGTCTGTCAAAAAGGGCCACGTAATGAGTGTGCACTGACTTGGAATGTGCACTTAAAAAAAAAAAAATGGAGAGAACATGATGGTCACAGGATCGGTCACGTTACCTTGTGTGCGATGCCTTTAATCCTGGGGTAAAGTCTACCCATAATTCTGTTGCATTCACTCATAAATCTTCGCTGAAGGAGAACAAGCTTTTAAAAATTCTGAAGTAAGGAAAAAAAAAAAAAAACAAATAGAAACGAGTATCTTATTGTGCTGCATTTCTGTCATTGTCCAACCGCACCGAGCAGCTGCTGGGTTGATAAGTTGTTACTGCAACGCCCTTAAGTTGCCAGTGAGGTTGAGGGGGAGAAGGTGAATTAACAGTGAGTGTACAACTGTCTTGTTTTTGTTATGCTAAACATTAACTGACTGTTTCTTAGCAAGCTTGGGACTACAGAGTGCGCTTCCTCCAACCAGGGTGATTTGTGATGCTGTTGGTTGGTAGGGGAACTGCTGTTCTTAAAGGTGGCTAAGCGCAGCTACTAGGAAAGATAGATCTAGCTGGTCTTATCACTGATTGACACTGAGTGCTTAGTCTTGCATACAATTGATTAGTTGAAGAATGATGGATTATGTAAAAATTTAGTATTTCTTGAAACTTAATCCACAGTACAGAGTCTGCTTAAATCAGAACAAAGGTCAGATCACAGGGCTTGTGAACATTTCAGGCCTGTGTCAGTGTGTAGTAATGATTTTGTATGACTGACATTGCAAGTTGGATATGTTCTGTACTTGTACAAACTTTGGAGTTGAAGATGTATTGTGTTTTGGGGGAATTCCAGGTGTTATAGTGACTGGTCCAGTTGGAGCTGAAGACTAGAACTGGTCATTGCAGCTCTCCCATTTTCTGGGCTGATGGCTGGCACTGCCCTGTAAGAATGCTTTCCCAAAAGAGTGGTAGAACACAAGCAAAGTAATATGCAAATTATAGATCATGTATAGTTTTAAATACTTTATTTACATCCTTTTGCCTGATCTTTCCTTTTTTAACTCATGAAGAGTGAGGAATTCCTTACCATGTGATCATAGTAATGTTGAAGAGTCGTAACGGAATGCTTCCTACCTGTCTGCTGAATAATGAGCTGTTCTTTATCCCATCCACCTTTCCAGTTCTTCTTCTTCAGGGGGACAGCGGTGGGCATTCCACTCAAGATTTCTTTCCAGTGCAGACATCCAGCAGGAGGTCAGAGGTCTGCTTTGGGAAAACTGTTGCTGCTGTCTGCTTGTAAAGCATGGTGGTGCAGTAATGGCTCTGTGCTGCTGGTAGGAAGTGGCGGGTATCTGTTTCTTGTCTGGCAGGCAGCAGGCTGGTGGGGGGTGGGTTGGTTTTGTTTGGTTTTGGTTTTGCCTCTTCTG